TTACTGTGACGAATCCTCTTAACATCATGGTGTTACCGTTATGTTTAAGAACAGAAATATACATCCCCTCTCAGATGGATTCTGTATATCATGTAACTTCTGTACTGCATTATAATAGACTGGTATTACAAAACCTATTTAAAGCCTTTCTAAGTTGGTAGCTATTTAAGATTGTGTGCTATATATACACATGTACATGTTGTATAGTGAGGTCTAGTCCTTTGGATTGGCCATGTGCTGCTAATTGTTACGACACCTCAGCAAGTTGGCTGTTTGCCTGTCAATACGTGTGGTTCCCAGGCCTGTGGGGGCTTGAAGTACAGTGCCAATCGGAGCAAACAAGCTGGGAAATGTCTTTTCACATTAGCACTCAGGTCTGCTTTGCTCCAAGCACATTACTGAACTCCAGGCCTGTGATTCAGTATTTGGGTCTGTCACCTTCTTGAGACCCTTGTAATATTGTCCCTCGAGCACAGTGCACACCTTGTCGTTTTTTCTGTCCTTTGCGAATGCTACTTGTCAGGTTGCATGAAATGAGCCCTTTGAGGCCGGAATAAGATGCTAAGAATGGACACGATTGACTGGATGTTCTTACATAGTTTTGACAAGAAAAATTGAAAAAGTAAGTGCCAATGACTGATATTTTGTTTATCTGCATCCATTTTTGAGTGCAACACTCACGTTTCAAAATCATATCAACAACCCGATGCATATAATCAAGTTTATGCTCTACATTTTTTCTTTTTCAAAAATTCTTTGCACCTAAACATACGTCAGAATACAGAAAAGATCTGCCATTTGGTCAACTCAATCACGCGGTCATCTGTCAAGGAAAGGTCAAACGCTGCCCCTCCTGCTGAGAGCAGCATTTAGATGAATATGTAAATAGCAAAACAAACCAAAAATGGCAGTGGTGAGAAGACAGTCAAGTCATGTCAAATTTATTTAGCGCTTTATACAATAGATTGCTTTAAAGCAAGCAGCTTTGCAGTATCGCAGTTTTACTCATGGATGTCTGACCTCGACAGACTGAATGGCGGAAATTAACCAGAGAAGATTTCCACATCAAAGGAGCAGCACCAGAGCACACCTACCTCACACAAACACAATCACCATGGATCAATGGTAGTTCAATTCAATTAAATTTGTTTATTTGTACAGCGCTTTTCACGATACAAATCATTGCAAAGCAACTTTACAGCAAATTAAGTTTCTACAATATTTAGTAGTAGTTCTTAGGAGCAAACTTTTCCAGCTTCGGTAAACTGTTTAGTATTCTTGAAACAAACCTGATTGTTCAAAATGACGTCACACCAGTTGGAGGTTCCGCTTAAATTTCACTCAGATAATGCAAAAATTAAAGAGTGTCTAGACTAAATAGTGGCTAGGCCAAATAGGAAATTTGTTCTCATTTTTCACATTATTTTGTAATTGTTGCATGTTTGGACTACTCATTTGATGTACTGCTTTTCGCGTACTAGGTAGCCTATGAATTTTGTCTGGACCTTTTATATTAAAGGGGACATCGCACGGTATGATTCTTTAGGGCCTTCATGGTATGTCAGCAAAATACTTTGGTTAAAATTCCTCAATGGTCATGTACTGTAAAACAACACCCTTTTTATCTCGTCAAAAACGGCTCTGTTCACAGCGAGCCGTTTCGGTTAATGTCTCTTTAAATGATAATGAGCTACTGCACACCCCACCCCTCTCTTCTGTTTTTTTTGTGTATTTGGTGGTGCATTTCCATCAAAAACTAAACCAATCCACTGCGTCCTCAGTGGCTCTCATGTCAGGAGAAAATGAAGACTTTTCATGTTAACTTTTATATCCAACTACAAAAACACCCACATTTGCTTACAAGACATTGTTGTTGCTACAGCTGCTCGAGCGCAGAGAAAATGGCGGACGACATACAACTGGCTGAGGGCGGAAATACGCTAATACGGGACAGTCCGTCAGTGGCCGTGGGCGGAGCCTGAGCAGTGTGATGTCATACTGTTCAGAAAATCAAAAAGGCTTGACAATTGAGACTTAGGTTTTTTGGGGGATCAAAAAAATGGAGCAAATTGATTTTTTCATTGTAACACACTGCTAAGACACATTTATATGCAAACCATGTAAAAGTTAATTTTGCATCCGATGTCCCCTTTAAGAGACATTTTATTTTGAATAGGGACATCACATATTACAGTACTGGTCAAGTTATGGTATCAAAGCTATTGACATTTTAAAGACAAACTTATGCCGAGTTCACACTGAACGATTTTCAAAGTCGTCGAATCACCGTTTTCACACTGCATGACTATCTGGGGTAGAATTCAGTTGCTGCTGTGTTCACATTGTACAATGAATAGGTGACAGGAGGTTACACACAACATGACTTCACAATAGGAAAAATCGCCGACAGCTCTTGACTGGTCCACAATCTACGTTTCACAACCAAATGCACGTGAGAAGTGATAATGGAATAACTCAAGATACAAGTTCTCGCACGAGACTGGAAATGTTATAAAAATGGTGGCCCGTAAAAAGTTTGTGATACAAATGGTCGGTGCGCTGATTTATAGCGAAAGGGCAAAAAAGAAAAAAGATTATGGAGGAGGAAATAGTTGGGGAGACGCGGGGAGCAAGGATTGTTGATATTGTGGTCTATAACTCCTCCCGCAGCTCTGTATCTTGCTCTCTCATTGGCTGCAGGTCAGTCAGAACTCATTTCACACAGCAGGATTTTGAACGAATGAATGATTTTCTCAGATCGCGTTTTTGATAATTCACACTGCATGATTGTCACTCGCGTGAACGAGCACCGATTTGCCTCTGATTTTGGGCATTTGTTTGCAATTTCACAAAAACCTGTCGGTGAGTGAAAATCAGGGCTAAAATAGTGCAGTGTGAACTTGCCATTAGACACAATGGTAACCTAGAAAAGCCAGCCTTGATTTAACTTAAGCAAAGAGTAAAATGTTTTATAAATCTTATTATTCATTACATTGTTTTTTTGTCTCTCTCTTATCCTTCCTCTTCCATCCATCCAGGTCTGGAATCCTTGCGGGACAGCGCCCACTCCACTCCCGTGCGCTCCATGTCCCACGGCGACTCCTTCATCCCACGTTCGCGGAGCCAGGCGACGGACCCCGGCGATGGGACGGCAGTCATCTCCGATGAGACCTACAGTCCCTCCGACAGCGTGCTGCCCACACCAGTGGCCGAGCACAGCCTGGAGATGGCAGTCTCGCGCCAGATCAACGGCGCCCCCTGCAGCATCGAGGAGGAGAAAGAGTCTGAGGCGGGCACGCCCACCGTGGGTGACATGGTCGAGTTAGGAGCGGACAGTAGGGCGGTGGGCCCCGTGCAGAGCGCAGGCGCGCTCAGCGAGACGGAACAGGTGAATAAGTTTGTTTTAAGTGTACTCCGTCTGCTCCTTGTGACCATTGGACTCCTCTTTGTCTTGCTCCTCCTCCTCATCATCCTCACTGAGTCCGACCTTGACATTGCATTTTTACGTGATATCCGCCAGACCCCCGAGTTTGAGCAGTTCCATTACGAATACTTTTGTCCCCTCAGACGGTGGTTTGCCTGCAAGCTCCGCTGGGCGGGCGGGCTGCTCATTAACAAGTGAAAATGAGGCACTAAAGCTCGTAAAGCCTCCCTTGTTGGGGTCGAGAAGACGCTAAACACGTGGAGAGAGAGAGAGAGAGACGGAGGGCATCGACCTGTCCCATGAACCCAGCTTCTTTCATGACACTCTTGCTGACACACGGTGGACCACCAGGCCCACAGCTCCTCTTCTCTTCCACTTTTAGTTCTTTCTCCCCCGTCCATTTTTACACCTTTATTATTTTTCTTTTTTACAAAGACAATTTTTTCCTTCTTTTTTTTTGGTTTCCTTATTTTGGATTTCAGGTCATTTCAGGTATTTTATTTTTACAAAAAAAACAAAAAAAAAACAAAACTTAATTCAAAGACTTGAGAATAATATATCGTTCCTTAAATAGGGAATATGAAATATTTTGTTGCAACGAGAATGTTGCCTTCATTTATATTTATTTTAAAATAATAATTATTAAAGTCTTATTAAAGAATGTGGTGCATTAAGTCAAGTTGGTACGGTAGAGTGGGATGGAAAGCACGAGAAAGTTGAAAACCAATGCTTTTCTGAGTTTATGCATAATTCATATCCATCCGTCATGTAACTTAGTAAATTCTGAAGGCTGCTATAATTTACCACATCAACGATCAGATCAGCAGAGGGTTATATGTAAGGTAAGGATGTGCAAGTTATTTTGGAAGCGAGAGCTGAGGAAAGACTGGAAATGATGTTATTTGAATAAAATTGATGGGTACATTTGAGTTCTGTATTTGTTGGCTTGAGTTTTAGGGTGTCAGATACATTTTAGGAATATTATTGTGTTTAGGCGGTAGCAAGCTGTGAAGTAGAATTCTTTTTAAAAAGGTTCTTTCTAATGGATACAGAAAAATTAATTGGTATAAATTGTGTTCTGTCATGTGACCCAATAGTGTCAGTATCTCAAAGTTATCATGACTGATTTAAAAGCAACTAGCACCCATAGATCCAATCTAGTTACAGTAGATGTACAATACTGTAAGGGTTTGGTTTTTAAGAAATAAGTACATCATTTTTTTCACGAGTATGTGGATTTGCTTTATTATAATTATTTTTTTTAATTTTCCATTCTGAGTATTTCTCAATAGAAAGAAATCCCATTGTATAAAGTAATCTTTTTTATTCCATATCGACCTTGGTTGTAAGTTTGTATTCTGTGGATATCATGCTGTTTATTCTTAATTACAATAACAATGCTGTACTTTTTGTACAAAAAGTAGTTAGTTTCCTAATATAGCGACAGTTTTTCCATGTATATTTTAACAGAAACTGAAATGTTATTTTGTTATTGAAAATTAAATTATACCTTTTTTTAGCTCTGTGTTCCAGATGAGGTCTAGAATCTATGGCGTTTCTGTCAAGGGAGACACGGGAAAGATTTTAATCCAGATCTACAATCCATTTTCAATTCAGTCACTTAACCAGTAATGAGAAAACCGTCCCTGTGCTTTGTATATTGGCCCTGCATTCGAACAATACTGATGACTTTATACACAGTTTAGCCAAAAGACTGTGTGTATGTTTGTGTGTGTATGCTCATTTTAATTAATTGACGATGTGTTTGGCAATATGTACTAGAAGGCCAGGTTTAGTCTTTAGTACACCAAGTCCTGATTAGTCTATATTATTTATTTGAAGACAGAAGATTCTTCCAGTGGCATGCAAGTTGGACAGGGGGTTTATTTTACCATACATGATCTATTTTATGCCTGCCCCTTTGAAACTGCTATTGATGTAATTGCTTTTGTATTTGAGAAAGCGAAAAATAGAGGAAGTGAATGCAAAATGCAGAAGGAGCAGATTTATTTTTGTGAACAGTGAAAAAGAGACCAGGGTTGAGAGAAGTAACAGCTAGTGGTAATTAGGGGACGTTTTAGATCTTACACTGGTACTCACAATAATTGTAGCTTTTAGCATTAGTTTGTGGCAGCTCACAAGCTTGGCTTTACTAGTACAGTTATTTTAAATGAACATGCTTCAATCCACCAATCACAATCTGCTGTTGTGTTGTAGGCCAGAATCACTATGGTGCTAGTGAATAAACGATGGCTGAGATGTTTTAGGAAGCAGCTGATGGTAACCGTTATGGGTTTTACTAGCTGAATTGTGCAGTCAAGTTACATGCCTTTATAACCATTTGGTAGAACCGCTGTCTTCCACTGACCACAGGAGCTGAAACGGGTTTTTGCTACGATGGACGAATATGAGGCGCATGGAAAACCGTAGCAGAAACTGCTGAAACACATGGAAAAGAGAGAGGGCCATTGGAGTTATGCATGTCTCTTACCTTGACAAGTATTCCTGCATGCATTTATAACATCTCTGATGTGCCAAATTATAACAGCGTTGTGGTGGCATAAGTCCATATTTTTGTAGAATCTGATCAAACAGTTGTTTTCACAGTACAATAATACAACGGTGTTGCTCTGATGAGTACTTGCATGCCTTGATGATGGGGTTTGAGCAGAGGAAAAAAAAGCTTGTAAGACCAGTTAAGGTTTTGAAAAATAATTGAAGTGGATCGAATTTTACTCATTGACAGCATTATGTAGCCTCAGCGGTCAGTCCTGCATGGCAGCGCCATTCAATAAGCAATAACCTGAATTATAGAATCATACAGATTAATCATTTTGATGGTTTTTGGGCTGTTGTGTAGCAAGTCCGACTACCTGATGTTTTCTAAGGAGTTCGGAATGAATCCATTTCCTTTTAAGTTAGACGCAAAATTGCATTTTAACTAAAAGGCTCATTTTTTATGACGATTATTGCCAGAATTTGCTACATTTTATACTCATTGTGAGCACTTATCTTGTTTGGATCCTGATCTGTCAGTGTCCTGTTGTTCTGAAGTTTTACGCTTCTCTTCATCCTTGAAATCCTATTGCCCAAGTTTCAACTGGTGCGCTGCTTCCTAGACTAGTAGATCAAGGGCAATTGCTACTACTGTCCTTGTGCGCTTCTACTTCATACTTTTGTCTCTAGACAGTTTTCTTGTACTATACGGAATGGCCAGGTTTGACTGTGATGAATGCAAGGGTCCTGTAAAGGACAATTGTCAGCTAAATTGGATCATTTCTGTAATTATCTAACTGGGTAACTTCACAAGGTCCCTCTGTGAACTTGGTACAGAAGTATTTTTATGCTTCTTAGTATATAAGTGCAAGTATAAATGGAAGTTGAACCTTTGCCATGACACTATAAAAAGTAGACTTTCAGGAGTATTACTGTACACTGCAGATAAAGCACTTCACTGGCTTAAAATATACCTTGACAGCATGAACAAAATGTTACAGCTTCAAACAAAACTATTAAAGACGGTGATTTTAATGTTCAAGATCTGGTATTGGGGGCTACAGCTGTTAGATTCCGTTGTGAAATCGCATTAAATGGCTGCTGATCTTTAGACATTTGGACCGCATTGGAGGATGTCAGGATGTCAGGATGTCCTCCATGTTTATAAGAGATTCCTTGAGGTAATTCAATGAACCACTATTAAATGGCTGCTGATCTTTAGACATTTGGACCGCATTGGAGGTCAGGATGTCCTCCATGTTTATAAGAGATTCCTTGAGGTAATTCAATGAACCACTCGCATTAGACAGCAGCTGCGTGACGTCTCAGATCGACTTGAAGTTCTGATAAATATTCTACCAGGGACTTTAAATGTCATCATCATTAGAATGAACTGCTCCTTAAATGCTTGCATACAAATTCCCAAATTATTTGGTAAAATCTGACTTCACCTGAACCGTAGCTTTAAGATTCACTATGGCACAGAGATCCTGTAAAGATCAGTGTTGGCAACACCTTTCATTTACTGTACTGTGCTTTTGTCACTTTGCCAGCCCCCACAGTCCCCTCGACAGACATGCATACACATGCACATTTGTTTATGCATAGATGTCTGTCTGTGGGCGTATTTTTCTGTAATCTGCATCTTTTCTATTTGGAACTGAAGGTTGCGGTTTAGTTTCTTAATATATGAATATTGAACTATATACAACATTTATGTGCCAAATGCAGTTCCTGTTAAGTCAGATTCATTCCAAAATCATCTTTGTACTGTAGGAAACCTTCCATGAAAATGGTATAAAGAAAATGTTTCACTGATAGTCCCTTGTAACTGGTGCCATGGAAATATTCAAACTTGAAATAAAAATTCAAAAGAGTTTGAGATATCTTGTGGTTTATAGTTCACAGTGCAAAAATTCTGTATGTAGGAATCAATCAGATGGTTCTCTAATTTGCTAATTCAAGAAATTAGACCAATAACCATTTCCTTTATAATAAAATGGCATCACTGCTTCACTGTGGCATTTCCCCCTAAATATTTTTGAAAACTTAATGCAAACTATACTTAAAAATGATATAGCAACCTGTAAGAAATGGGGTGATAGCACAATTTTTGTTAATTTTCTTTTCTTTTCAAGGAAAAAAAACTGTAGCAAACATACAAGGCTGGGTTTTGACACAAATTTCACAATTTGATTCGATTCTCATTCACAAGCTTGAGATTTGATTCGATTACCAGTTCAATTTGATTCAATATCGATTATTTTGGATACATATCAGGTACAGTACATGCCAAATTTTCAAGGAAAAAAAAAAAAAAATCAACTAATGTTGTAAAATATACACGAGAGTCAGTTGGTACACATTAATATTTAAGGGTAAAATAGACTGATTTGTAGTTTTTAATTAAAAAAAATAAAAAATGTTTTAATTAAGTTACAATTATATAATATTACTATTTTTTTTTTTTTTTTTTAAATATAAACATTTAAATTGTGGCTGTCATAGAAACTTGATGGATTTATTCAAACAAATTAAACATTGAAGAACAGTAAAAATTATAATGGGTGTGATATATGGTGCATATATTTAGCAAAATGCCCCTCTCTACGGTTTATTTTTCTAGCTGATTAATGAGTTTATAGTCACCGAATGTTTTTTTCTGAGGTAAATGTGACGTTACGTGACATTGTTTACAACCGTTATATTGAAGTCTTTGCGCAGCTGAAACACTGATTGAGCGATTACATGAGACAGGATACGGATTGTAAAGTTGTACTCTTTCTTTTAACTTACCTTCAGGTGTTTAGTCATGTTTATTTTGTGCTGAAACTGGTATTAATGTGGAGTGATTTCTATTTGAATATATTTTAAAATGTAATTTATTCATGTGATCAAAGCTAAATTTTCAGCATCATTAGACCTACTCCAGTCTTCAGTGTCACATGATCCTTCAGCAATCATTTTAATATGCTGATTTGCTGATTATCAATATTTAAAACAGTTGAATAAATTTTTTTCAGGATTCTTTGATGAATCGAAAGATCCACAGATCAGCATTTATCTGAAATAAAAAGGTTTTGTAACATTATACACTATACCATTCAAAAGCTCTTTTTAAAATTTATATTATAGAAATTATTACTTTCATTTAGCAAGGATGATTTAAATTGATCAAAAGTGATGATAGAAATCTTTTGTAACATTATAAATGTCTATTTCAGATAAATGCTGTTCTTCTGAACTTTCTATTCATCAAAGAAACCTGAAAAAAATCTACTCCGCTGTTTCATCAAAATAATAAATGTTTTTTGAGCAGCAAATCAGAATATTAGATTGATTTCTGAAGGATCATGTGACTGGAGTAATGATGCTAAAGCTCTGCTTTGAAATCACAGGAATAAATTATATTTTCAAATAGAAAAACAGTTATTTTAAATAGTAAAAATATTTCAAAATGTTACTGTTTTTGCTGTATTTTGGATTAAATAAATGCCGGCTTGGTGAGCAGAAGAGAATTCTTTAAAAAAACATTAAAAAATCTTACTGTTCAAAAACTTTTGACTGGTATGTTAGCCTATAGTTTGAAGTAAAAAAATATTAATATTAATAAGGAGAGTCTGAGATTTATTTGACAGTGATTTCACATTTGCGCCATTTTTTTCCTAAAATATTATATAGTTTTATAGGAGTAGGTTTCATAGCGTTGGCAAAATTAAGAAATATATCGTGATATAAATTTTGGCCATATCGTCCAGCCCTACGCTACAGCGATCTGTCACTCCACATTAAACAGCGCCAAAACGACATTTATTGTTTGAATACTGCAATACAATGAACAGAATTTGAAATCTGAGACTTTGTTTCATATTAAAAGTACCAAAGCAATGCTTATTGCGATTTATTGGATGGAAAGTGCCCTTCAAATGTTCCGTCCATTAACTGAAAACTAAGCTAGAATAATCGATTCTTGGGATTTAGGAATCGATATCGTTCCGTAAAAATGAGAATAGATTAAAATCGAGATATCTATATTTTACCCAGCCCAATTTGAAACCCCCAAAATTTGTTCAATATACTTCAATAAGGGTATACTTGCTTTAATGTTATATAAATCAAAAATGTAAATATACACCACAAAACTATATTTATAAAAAATCAGTGTATACAAACTCTTTACAAATTACAAATATTTACAAAGTCACATTAATTTACATTACCATTAGGAGTATTCTGATTCTAGAGGTGAGAGAATGTTGGTTTGAGGAATGGACGAGCAGCATTCTGTGGAGTGGGCAAAGCCATGAAGCCGGGCCTCTTCACTGCTGGGACTGATGGAGCCGGCCTGGAACCTCTGCCTGCACTTCGATTACCACCCCTGTATCCCCCTCTTCCTCCGCCTCCTCTTGATGAAGACCAGTTATTGCTGTATCCACTACAATAAGGGTGGAGAGGGAGAGTTAATTTGGGTTCATATAGCCAATATGAAAGTCAGCACAATCCAACAATACTTCTGCTGTAACATACTGACCCTTTAGAGGCAGAGTTTTGGCCGCTGGCACCTTTTCTTCTTTTGGGTTTCCTGGAGTAAGACCCTTGCTTTCTCTTTGCTCCTCGTCCAGAGGTGCTTCTGAAATAGGTTGATGTGGTGTCCCCTTCATCATCGTCATCTTCCTCGTTTTGATGGCCTCTTGTTGTGTCAATCCATCCTGAACTCTCTGTCTGTGCCTCAGCTGCAGAGGAAGTGCGAGAACATTATATCTTTTAAACTACTTCATTTCAAGAGCTTTATGGGTTGCTGTTTTGAGCTAGCTGAAATATGATCCGTTTTAAAGTGTATAGGTAGAGCAAGCCAAATCACAACTGTAGTATGGTTTCTTATTATATTAAAGGTGGGTTAAGCGATTTTTCAAAAACGCTTTAGAAAACTGATTCGGGCCGACTAGCAAAACACTTGGAGCCAATCAGCAGTAAGGGGCGTGTCTACTCATGATGTGGAGGAGAGAGCGTTCAGTGCACAGGACGGACATTAGAGATGGAGATGGTGGGTAAAAAACAAAAGAGGACAGCGTCTGCAGAACAAAAGAAGGCTTAAGCCAATAAGGCAAGAAGTAGGACCAGTGTAAATATCGGATCAGCTTTCCAGCGCTGGAGAGAACTCAAGGAGTGGAAGGCCTGCGATCAGACGCCGAGGTTGCTTTGTTTCTTCTCGATACACCGAAGTAACACCATGTCTGCGCCGCAACAGCTAAAGTCTGTCTAGTACACTGGACGCGACAAAGCGACCGTTGAAATTTGTGTCAATACCTCATGAATAAAACGCAGCAGCAGTTTTCTGTCAGGGATTTGTCGTGTCGTGCCGCATCCAGTGTAGACCATAGATATAAATATCTCTATGTGATGTAGACCGCATCACTGATTTTAATGAGTTCCATAGTATTTTGTCTCTCCGCGCTACTCGCGTCTGGTGTAACATTGGTTTTGCTTTGTTTCACAGAACTAATCGTTGCCTGGGTTGCGTACGCATCTGTGGGGCAGAGCTAACAAAATAGGGGCGAGACCCTTTTGGGGTAGGGGAGTGTTTGTTTTGGTTATTTCAAATGTCAACATTGGCTACCAGAAATCACTTACCCCACCTTTAAGTATTTTTAACTTATCTTGGACTAAGGGAAATTACATTGACAAAATAAATATGAGGCAGCTTTAAACTAATAGTAATATCAGCTAGTAAAATTAAAGGATCTCTATAGTATTTTATATATATTGTAACTTTAAACACCCTAAACTCGCAATCACATTAGCGATGTTAGCAAAAACATTAGCAAAAAATGTCTTTTGCCAATAATATAGCAATGTATGAAGCACAGCTCACAAAGTCATTACTTTTAAACCAAGCAGCTTTCTGTTGGTCAAAGTGCTGATGACCAACTGGATTTTGTCTGTGGTAAATGTGACCACATCTTGTAGATACGTATTTGAATTTCTAGACTTGGGGATTGCCTAAATTTAGAATGCTAGTCTCTAAAACAAGGTTGAAGCTAGAAAGGATTACTGTAATGTAGGATTATTTATTGTGTCATGGAAAGCATTTATCTTGATGTATATATGGGGGGGGGTGCGTGCATATTATATGTAATGTGTGTATATGTAATGAAAATGTGCTAACCAGCAATCTTTTTGAGTGTGGCTGTGGAGAAAATGTTGTAGTAATGAATGCCAAAGACTTTGCCCAACTTCTTGCACAGATCATTGAGTTCCTGTAGACATTTTTTAACCATCTCCTCTCTCTTAGAAATGTTCTCAATCACAGAGGCTTTGTGCTTTCTGATGCTGGACGCAGTCTCCGTCTCAACAAACTCAACCTGCAATGGGGTATGGTCATTAATAGAGCATACAACATCGGTATTGACCATAAAAGGTCAGTGTCACAGATGAGAATAACAATATTAATAGTCTCACCTGCATGCAACCACTCAGTACACTCATGGCTTTAAGCCCAGCAGAGATATAGGCCACTGCCTGCCCTTTGTTAGTGATGTAGAGGTCCTCCATCAGAACACTATCCAGCACCAGTTTCTTAAAAAGCCTCTCAGCATTGTGTTTGGAATATGCTGCTCCTACTCCGAACATTCCAGACTGGATCCGAGCACTTTTGGAGCCTGCCGCAAAGAGATATTCTTACTGAGGCCTGGAAATCTCAAGCACTGGATGAGGCAAAGGATATTCATAGTAATATTCACACTATCATTTATGACAGTCAAATCCCGCTAGGCTTCTTACCCAGAAATATGTCGACCAACATGTTGAGAGTGAGCCTGTTCTGCTGGGCGGATTTGCCATATCGGTTTCCAACCTTCTCACAGTTCTCCTGCACAAACCTCACAATCTTCTTCACATCATCTGTGACATTTCTTGATTTATATTTCTGGAGACAAGCATTAAGATGTATGAATTTGTATCTGTAATTAACATAAAATGGCACTATATTCAAAATACCAGCAAACAATTAGTCAAAGCAAGTATCAATTAAGTTGTTTGGCAAGCAAACTATATCCAATTTCAAGCAATGGCTGTGTACAATTATAGTTTATTATTATGCATGACATTTGCATAATGTACGCTATAAAGAATGAAATGATTCTATGATGGTCTTACATGTGGTCTGGCACAATTGTCACAGATGACCTCAGGATGCTCTTTACAGAAGCTTGTATTGAATGTGTGCTCGCCGAAGTAAGCCAGCAACTGGATTCTCCTGCACTCGGCCACATTCTCACAGAAATGCACCATGCTGTGCAGGTTGTTGATGTGGGTGGCTTTGGATTGCTGGCTGCCGTCTTTATCCACTGCAATTATATTAACTGTTATGTAGGCCACGCTCACACAGACAGGTTAACTATGACTGTACAATAGTGTCTGGATTTTAGATCCCAAATGCAGAGCATTTAAGGTGCTCTGTAGAGCACCTTAAAACATGTCATTTTACTGAATAACAAATGCAACATTTAAAGTTCTGTTATATTTCTCTGTCTTGCTCAGTTTTATTAAAGGTGCAGTAGGAGATCTTGGAAAACGCTAACTTTAGCCTGATAGCACTGAAAGCGAACTTCCCACCCTCCCTGCAATCGCCGTCCAAAGCCACGCCCCCTGAAGGCATATACGCACATAGATCAGATGACTAGAGACAACATTACTACAATACATCATGTATTATTCACCAGTGAGAAAACTTCATAGCACAGTTAGTAAAAGTACTATAATACCAGGAAGAAAGATCAGGTTGTTGAAGTTTGCCTGCCATTCTCACTCTGTCTGCACAGCGTACGTGATGACGTATACGCTGATGACATATCCTGTCTGCGCGAACAGGGTGTGCAGAGGTATGCAAATACGTATGTTGACAGGCTGGTAGGAAAGTCCATAAAAACAAACATTCTGATTGGACAAACATTTCTTGGTCCGACGCCTTCCACAGAATATATATAAATACATTTAGACCACTTAATGATTGCTATCGGGATGTGAAGAGATTTTCAACCAGCTTAACAATTTTTTTTGGATGTGATTGAAAATCGCCTATTGCACCTTTAAGGGATTGTTTACAGTTAACACACCGATATATCCTAGCTTCATTACAAGAATAAACTAAAATCCTGCAGAACATACTAGCAATGAGTCTCTTGATGCGGATAACATCACTGTAGGAATAGAAGAGGACGCAGTGGGAAATCTCTCCATCTCGACCAGCTCTGCCTGACTCCTGGTAATAACCCTCCACTGACTTGGGCAAACTGGCATGGATCACATAACGCACATCTGGCTTATCGATTCCCATGCCAAATGCAATGGTGGCACACATAACCTAAAAATAAATGATGAATGGTTAAAAATAAAAAGCGGTATTTTTGGGAATCAGGGAAAATGAAAATGCCCGGTTTTTGGGATGTGATTGAAAATCGCCTATTGCACCTTTAAGGGATTGTTTACAGTTAACACACCGATATATCCTAGCTTCATTACAAGAATAAACTAAAATCCTGCAGAACATACTAGCAATGAGTCTCTTGATGCGGATAACATCACTGTAGGAATAGAAGAGGACGCAGTGGGAAATCTCTCCATCTCGACCAGCTCTGCCTGACTCCTGGTAATAACCCTCCACTGACTTGGGCAAACTGGCATGGATCACATAACGCACATCTGGCTTATCGATTCCCATGCCAAATGCAATGGTGGCACACATAACCTAAAAATAAATGATGAATGGTTAAAAATAAAAAGCGGTATTTTTGGGAATCAGGGAAAATGAAAATGCCCGGTCAAAAGCGCTGGTCCATGTTTTAGTTATTTTCAAAACTGAGTGCCTCACCTGGCAGCCATCCTGGTTGATCCATTTATTCTGGACATATTCCCTGTCACTCAGGCCAGCGTGATAAGCCAGCGCTGCGATCCCAGCCCTCTGCAGACTGTCAGCCAGAGTGTCGCAGTCATTACGAGACAAGCAGTACACAATCCCAGAGTCACCTACACACACAGTCAACATGATTTATAGGGTCTCCATGCTGTGGTGAGAAATTATTGCTAAAGACGATCTCAATCTGGACAGCACTCACGTGGGTAATATTTCTTGATCCACTGAATACATTCCTCATCGACCTTCTTGGGCTTTTTTGGCAAAACTGAATATTTGAGATTGTGCCTGTTGAAGCTCATAGTGAATCTATGAAAACATTATCATTTTAATATGACTAACACATGTACTTGATATCTATAGATTTAATGGCTGAGTACCAAAGAATGAATAATTGGTAAGATTTGGGTTGGTAAGATTTTTAAACAGCATTTGCTTTAAATAGAAATCTTTTGTAACAAATGTATTTACTGTCACTTCTGATCAATTTAATGCATCCTCCTCTGCCATAATCATATAAAGATTTATTTAAAATGTAAAAATGTTACTCTGTATTTTGAAGGAAGGTGAGTGTTAAAATAACTCTGCATCCATATTATAATCAGAGTGAGAGTGCCATTAATCAGAATGTCATGCTTTTTACATAAACGTGAATCAGCAATTGCTTGCAGGAAAACTTACACCTGAGGACGGGTCATTGCCAGCTGGTTCAGAATGTCTTTCTGAACTCTAGGAGTGGCTGTGGCCGTCAGTGCCATTATAGGAACATTGGGAAACATCCGCCTGAGCTCATGCAAGCGCTTGTAGTCTGGCCTGAAGTCATGACCCCACTGAGGAAGAAACGGATCTATTTATTTTACAATGTTTTTGCTTTTAACTGTGCCAATATTTTCTGTTTATGTAAAACACTGTCTTGTCTTCACTACTTAAAATCACATATATTTGACTATTCTTGTTGCACTATATCATTTTCAGTTAAGTTTACCTGACTGACGCAATGGGCCTCGTCAATGACAAAGCGAGCTAGCAGACCCCTTTCATACAGATTCTGAAGGGCACTGATCATCCGTCCACTTGCACACACCTGAGAACAAAAACAAATACAAATATCAATATGGTTATAGATATGCATGCAAACTTGCAACACACTTGTCTGATTTGAATCCCACCTTCTCAGGAGTGGCATAAAGCAGTTTGATGGGGGGATCCTTCCTAGACAGCTGCATATAGACCTTTGCAGCCTCACTATCTTTTTTGTCCCCAGATAAACTAGTTGCACAGATCTGAAACACAATTTCACAGTAAGCAACTGTTTTGATCAGGTTAAGACAATTACTGTGCATAAGGAAAAGACGGACTTACATCTAATGTGGTAAGCTTTTGAACCTGGTCAACTATGAGAGACCGCAGAGGAGAAATGACAACAGTCACTCCAGCAAAGACACAAGCAGGAAGCTGATAGCAGAGACTTTTACCACCACCTGTAAAGGGGTTGTGTCACATTGTAACATATCATTAGGAAACTTTTTTTTTTTTTTTAAATTGCTGGTATCTTGACACAGAGAAAGAAAAGACTAAAATAAAAGGAAAAGCAAAAGTACACTGCTTTAATGCTCAAAAAAATGAGACTGCCTGACAAAGATCAAAATGTCTGTCCTATTTATTAATAACCCTGTAAAGCCTACCATGTCCACCTTCATGTCATGCTACATGTGTCTTTTTGCTGTGAAATATTTAATTATTTTTAGAAAAGTAAATGTAAGAATAACTTAATATTTCAAGGTGAACACTTACTAGACTGAACTTAGGTTAACTTTATCCAAAAAAATAAATAAAATGTATCATGATTCAACATGCTTAAGGAATGTTTGTTTAACATTTATTATACATCTCTCAAACATCATATTACATTATATGCTTATACATAAAAAAAAAAAAGTATATTCAAATGATATATTTGCTATTTTAAGATTAAGGGCATTGACCAAAGTCTACTTACAGATTTGCGAATAAATCAGTCATCTCTTTTCTTATTATTTTCAAATATTGCATAAAACAATTTTTAATTATAAAATAAATTTGTGTAAATCTCAACTGATTTGTACCACTGGCCATAAATATCTTTAAATATTGTAAAACCACTGAAAAAAAAAAAAAAAACAATACTGGCTGACCACTAGTTCATGAACACTATATCTATACACGTATATTAAACATGCAAAAAATGATGCAGCCAGACATGCTGCAGGTGTAGACAAGACATAGTGTGCTGGGATGTCTAGTCTAACATCAAAATAAACAAGAAATAGGAGTCATAATGACTCATGTTGCTATAACATTTCTAACAAACCTGTAGGCATCAGTACAAACGTGTCTTCTCCTAACAGTGAGGCATTAATAGCCTCCAGCTGATTGAAGCGGAACTGATGCAGCCCAAACTTCTTATGGAAGATCTTCATCATCTCTGGGCTGTGAGGAAAGCTGATGCCTCTAAAGCGGTCATGAGCTGGGTTTCTGTACACAGGTTCTGCAGATCAAGGCATAAACTGTTACCAGATAACTGCTCATCGTGCCATTTCATGGGTTCTTTAATTACATGAACTAAACTGTAAGGGATATTACATTGCTTAAACCTACCAGTGCTGAATGTTTTGGTAGGTTTTAGAGCTGGTGGTGTTACAGTCTTTCTCTCCAAAGGTTTTGAAGGCCCTCCCTCCCGCACTGATGGCGTTTTTGCATCAAAGCGGTCTCTTGATGCCAAGACACTTGGAGGTTCTTCAAAATATTCTGGAACATCAGTCTCATCAAAATCATCAATATCAAAATCATCAATTAGGAAGTCATCAAGTGGCTCTGTATCTGCTCGAGAACAGTTGGGTACTTCCATGTTGGTTTCAACACTGCTCTCAGTATTTCTCTTTCCTGAATCTACTCTTTTGGGGGAATAAAACAAGTCAACCTGATCTCCACCCACAGTCTGATTGTTTGACTCATTGAAGGACAACCCTGAGTAGCACTTATCTGTTTTTGACACATATTTGCTTGAAGGGGGACTTGACCTGTTTGAGATGTCCCTACTAGTTGCTGTTTTTGAGGTGCTGTTAGGATTCCAGGAACCACCGGGGGTCTCAACCCCATTGATGATACAGTCAGAATCCTCAAACACACTGTCATTTTCCAAAGATATGACTGAGGCAATGGATTTGCGAAATGGAAAGCCTGTTTTGACGGCCTTTTCTGATATCACTGGGGTCATAGATGATGTTGGACTAGAGGGCGTGACTCCAAACCCTTGTCTGTTTAGCAGACTAGAATATGGAGTTGCTGCTGGGCCTAACTGAGATGTTCTAGATGGTGCACCATTAGCAAGAATCCTTTTCCTGTGGTAAAGACAGAGACACAGTATAATGGAGAGTTATTAGTCATACTGAAACAAGCAGTAATGTCATCAAACATTAATATAGTAATAGAAAATAAAAATTAATATCACGCTTTCATAACTGGAACATTTCCTCACTAACGAGTAAAAAACTGGTCAATTTTACAAAAAGGCCACCTGACAAAATTTGTCACAATGCCAAATCTTTTCATGGGTAAGAACAGCCTTTATTTTTAAAAGCTGACTTTATACAGAATATTTTATATTTAAAAGCATATTTTATGCAAAAAAAAAAAAAAGTAATAGACTATTCAAAATATTAATTTTCTAATTTACCCAGCAAATGTACTCCTTTGTTGCTTTACCTGTGTGCTCTCTGCAGTAATAGCTCTGTGCCACAGGTCAGTGCTATGAGCTCATGCTCTGGAATAGTGTCAACTAGATAACAAATAGACTCCATAATAGTAAAGAGAGCATCATCAGGTCCTAAAACAAATAAATGCACATTAGACACATTACATCATTTCCTTTAATGCAAATGGTTGAATAACAAAAAGTTAAATCCTGCATTAATGATACCTTTTAATTCTTTAGCAGGTTCATCAAAGGGTGCTGACAGGTTTGAGGCAGACTCATGAGGTGGAACATTTTTGTCAGCATGTGTAACAGGGTCAGATGAACTATAAAGCAAGCAATACATTTAAAACAAAAAGAAACTGTACTTATTTTCTGCCATATTTCATTTCTTTCATGCTACCTTTTCTCCTCTTCGGAGTCAAAGGCACTCGTCTCCTCAAGAACAGGGGATGGGGGGATGAAATCCTCATAAAAGTTGTCTGTCTCAGTCTCATCAATGTCTATGATGTTTGTGTCAGCACACTGCTCTTCTGCCGCAGCTGCAATTCAAATACTATGTATTATTTCGTTGTGAGCTTTATATTAATATCTAAACACACCAACCTTTTCTTTAACAGGTGAAAAATTCCAAATTGGGGTAAACCCACTGAAGAAATTGAGGTACACTAACTTGTCACACACTTGATGTCCTTTTCATTTTTATCTGGTGTAATACAGTCAATGATCTCCTCATCTTCAGTGTCACTCAGTAACGCCTTTTGCTGGACTGATTTCTTATGTCTTTTGGATTTTTTAATGGGCGAGTCCTCTGGCTCTCTCTCAGCAGGCTCTGTGCTGACTCTATTAGCAGCTGACAGGACATCCTTTGGGATAGTTATAGATTCTGTAACCTGTGAACCTCCATTTAATGTAGTATCATCACTCTTAGCACAAGAGGAATTTGGGGACATGTTCTGGTCCGATACACTTAGCTTTTTTGTAGAGGTTTCTGTAACTGGGGACGGTACTCTTGCCTTGACTGGGGTTTCAAAATCATCCAAGTCATCCCATTCATTGAAGGAGAGTTGGGAGATGTCACACTTAGGTTCACACACAGTTTGATCCTTAGGGAAGGCTGCAGATTTTGGCAAATCCTTAATGGTAAATTGGACAGGAGGTGTTTTGTTCACAGCAAACGGGTTGACTAATGGATTAACAGTATTTGTCTTCGGTCTGCTGGGTGCAGTGAAGAAGTTGACTTTCGGAGTTGCTCTCTTAGGGTTTTGCGAAAACGTCACATGAGTTTTGGTTACTTCACAGCTGCGTGAAATATTGACACTCCTGTTTGCTAAGACATTTGCACCAGTTACCTTTAGAGGAACTTCCACTTTGGAGATACCTGATGAAGACTTCTTTTTGAAACAAAACCCCCTAAACAAAGACATTTCAGAGGTTAGGCTACACATTTAAAATGTTGACAGTCAATTCACTTTAATTTGTCTATCTATCGGACTGTTTTTACTCTGTACTTTAATCTAAATGAACTATCTCTCCTGCATCTGACTTTTTTTTAAATCTGTAGCTACATCTATCTATCGCAGAATATATAATAATGTTCTTACCCAGGCTTTAGTTTCAGCAGTGATAACTTGCTCTGTGCAGCATTATTGTGTCGTTCCAGTTGCTCCTTTAGGTTGTTTTGAGGAAGACTCGGCATTGTGTGTGAATTTATAGTAAATATGAATCCTCAACATTCATGTATATGGCACTGAATCAACCCCACAAACAAATACACACGCACAAAAAAAACAGCCATGCCATGTTAGAATTAATGCGACATTACAACACTTGATTTACCCACAACGCACAGTTTAACTCTCTTTCTGCCATCGTGTGAACATTAAAACACCAAAATGAGAAAGCCACACAAAATGCCTTCACAATCACCACCACCGAACACAAATATTTGATATTAAGATATAACATACGAGCGCAATTCAACATCACCATAACACCGCTGAAAGCTCGCGCTTACCGCGTATTCGTAGCTCGCGCTGATTGGACAGCTGCCAGTAACGTCACTTCCGCTAAGCCCCTGTTCGTTTGCTCCGTGCATATGGTCAATTTTGCCACGTTTTCAGTTGTACCTCAGCAGCATTTTTATCTTTTCTCCGTTTCTTCATCCTCTTTTTGTTGAGTGGATTTTTAATCGTGTCTCAACGTAGACTAATAAGTACATAAATAACTGCTTTCTCTCTGGCGCACACTGTTGTAGCTCAAACATTAGATGTGGGTTTAGGTTGCCACATACTGGTTTGCTGTGGAATTGCACATTATTTACATATTCTATCTCAGCAAGCAAGTACAGTCTCGCAGTATTCAATTAAGAAGCAGCACAAACAAAAATTAACTTAACAATTCACATTTAAGTTAATTTCAATACAGTAAATGTTAAACATAGGTTCTCAAGCAATGTCTGCAGTGTCTTTTGCAGTTTTTACTTTTTAAAGTCTTAAAGTTCTACTTAATGGATGAACACCATTACTCTGATGGAAAGTGATCCATAAAAAAGGCAGGACACACACACACACACACACACACACACACACAAACAAATCCCTGAGAATATATTTATTTCAGTACAATAATTTTGGTTGCTAACATGAATATTACAAATTCTTAATTTTAACAAAGTAGACAACTTCAACATTAAGCATAGTAATAGAAATGTCACTGACTAGAGCAGGGGTTCTCAAACCTCTCCATGAAGTACCCCCAGCACTGCACGTTTTGTATGCCTCCCTATATCTGACATACCCACTTCAGGTCTTGCAGTCTCCACTAATGAGCTGATGAATTGAATCAGGTGTGATAGATACGGGAGACATACAAAATGTGCAGGGCTGGGGGTACTCCAGGACAGGTTTGAGAACCGCTGCACTAGAGTGTCACTGAATGTTTTTAATGAATGTAAATCATTCTTTTAATGTAAAGTTAAATAAGTATTTAACTTATTTACAGACAGCTAGTATAGACTACAACGACTCATTGTGCATAAAATGATTTTGTGTGAGAGTAAATGTAATAACTTGTCTCCCTTTTCATGGTGTAAGAAAATACTTTTCAGTTATTTACACCAAAGGTAAAGGATAGGATGAACATGCAGCAAGTCCACACATGTTCTTTCCCCTCTCGATGTAGAAATATCTGTATGGGAAATAACAAGACATCACATTTATTGTTATTAACTTGGCCAAATGGTCAAGTTTCATATATAATCGCTACTATATTTTTTAACCTTACAGCAGTACAACATTTGAGTAAATCATGCAAACAGACCCATTGATTCCCCAGTTGGTTCCCCAGGAGTTCTTCACTATCCAGTATGGAGTTCCATTCTGCTCAGCATAGCCCACAGCAAGCACTGCATGGTTCACCATGTCAGTAGTGTTGTGACACTTGGTGCTATAAAATACAGTCATAACATTACAGAAATTCCCATGAACTGTCAGAAATAAATCCAGTGTAAAAGCAAATGTACATATACTTAATCCTAACCTCGTGTATATTCCATCTCTGTAGTGCATGAAATCAGATGTCACCTCATATGCCAGGCTGACAGGGTTCAACCTGGCCACAGCATCCACCATGCCCATTTCATCATACTAATAACAGGAATTTACAGTTAGAGTGAAGACATGAAGTTTTAATAATATTTGTACACAGACCATTACCTTTGTAATGTTTACAACATCCTTCACAAAGGCAGCAGCCAACTCTGGTTTGAATCTACATTCACCTTGCTACAAGTAAGTAGAGTATGAACAAATGTTAGCACTTTATAAATGAACTCTTGAAAACAATAGTTAAAATGGTAAAACACTTACTATAGCCTTATAGGGGTAATCTTGTTCTGTCATAAGACCTTTGTTGTACATGATGTACTCAAAGGCATGACTTGGGAGGCCACTAAAAAGCGGTGACGGAATGTAAAATGTTGTTTAGACCATTTTACAGTTAAGACTTTACTCCTAAAACCATAAAATAAGCCAAGATGAAGCTCACCCATTGCAACCATGATTGTCGAAAGCACCTGCACAATCAACAAGCTGCTGCTCTGCCTGTAAAACAATGCATGATAGGAAGAAGAAGAGGTTAGACAAAATATCCTGATGTTTCATATATATTAGTTATATTTTATTACTAATGTGCTGTTTTGGGGTTTGTTTGAACATGCCAAAGGGCAAAAAAATGTATATTCATTACAATGTTGATACGAAATTGAATAAAAATACATTATTAATATCTAATGATGAATGTTCACTATCATTGTTAAATTAAAAGCAACATTTACATACTAGTTGTAGGAGTTTCCCTGTGGCAATAGCAGTGACAGACTCCAGACAGCCTGTGGTGGAAAAAGTCCAGCAGCTACCACAAGCTCCCTGAAATAGTGTCACCGATTAAGCATTAGCACTGTTTACTTAAAAAATAATCAATTGTAAGTACAATAGAGAATTATTAGCCTATAGCAAGATAAGCAAGCTACCTGGTTCTTGACATTGGGTTTAGGTTGCCACATACTGGTTTGCTGTGGAATTGCACATTATTTACATATTCTATCTCAGCAAGCAAGTACAGTCTCGCAGTATTCAATTAAGAAGCAGCACAAACAAAAATTAACTTAACAATTCACATTTAAGTTAATTTCAATACAGTAAATGTTAAACATAGGTTCTCAAGCAATGTCTGCAGTGTCTTTTGCAGTTTTTACTTTTTAAAGTCTTAAAGTTCTACTTAATGGATGAACACCATTACTCTGATGGAAAGTGATCCATAAAAAAGGCAGGACACACACACACACACACACACACACACACAAACAAATCCCTGAGAATATATTTATTTCAGTACAATAATTTTGGTTGCTAACATGAATATTACAAATTCTTAATTTTAACAAAGTAGACAACTTCAACATTAAGCATAGTAATAGAAATGTCACTGACTAGAGCAGGGGTTCTCAAACCTCTCCATGAAGTACCCCCAGCACTGCACGTTTTGTATGCCTCCCTATATCTGACATACCCACTTCAGGTCTTGCAGTCTCCACTAATGAGCTGATGAATTGAATCAGGTGTGATAGATACGGGAGACATACAAAATGTGCAGGGCTGGGGGTACTCCAGGACAGGTTTGAGAACCGCTGCACTAGAGTGTCACTGAATGTTTTTAATGAATGTAAATCATTCTTTTAATGTAAAGTTAAATAAGTATTTAACTTATTTACAGACAGCTAGTATAGACTACAACGACTCATTGTGCATAAAATGATTTTGTGTGAGAGTAAATGTAATAACTTGTCTCCCTTTTCATGGTGTAAGAAAATACTTTTCAGTTATTTACACCAAAGGTAAAGGATAGGATGAACATGCAGCAAGTCCACACATGTTCTTTCCCCTCTCGATGTAGAAATATCTGTATGGGAAATAACAAGACATCACATTTATTGTTATTAACTTGGCCAAATGGTCAAGTTTCATATATAATCGCTACTATATTTTTTAACCTTACAGCAGTACAACATTTGAGTAAATCATGCAAACAGACCCATTGATTCCCCAGTTGGTTCCCCAGGAGTTCTTCACTATCCAGTATGGAGTTCCATTCTGCTCAGCATAGCCCACAGCAAGCACTGCATGGTTCACCATGTCAGTAGTGTTGTGACACTTGGTGCTATAAAATACAGTCATAACATTACAGAAATTCCCATGAACTGTCAGAAATAAATCCAGTGTAAAAGCAAATGTACATATACTTAATCCTAACCTCGTGTATATTCCATCTCTGTAGTGCATGAAATCAGATGTCACCTCATATGCCAGGCTGACAGGGTTCAACCTGGCCACAGCATCCACCATGCCCATTTCATCATACTAATAACAGGAATTTACAGTTAGAGTGAAGACATGAAGTTTTAATAATATTTGTACACAGACCATTACCTTTGTAATGTTTACAACATCCTTCACAAAGGCAGCAGCCAACTCTGGTTTGAATCTACATTCACCTTGCTACAAGTAAGTAGAGTATGAACAAATGTTAGCACTTTATAAATGAACTCTTGAAAACAATAGTTAAAATGGTAAAACACTTACTATAGCCTTATAGGGGTAATCTTGTTCTGTCATAAGACCTTTGTTGTACATGATGTACTCAAAGGCATGACTTGGGAGGCCACTAAAAAGCGGTGACGGAATGTAAAATGTTGTTTAGACCATTTTACAGTTAAGACTTTACTCCTAAAACCATAAAATAAGCCAAGATGAAGCTCACCCATTGCAACCATGATTGTCGAAAGCACCTGCACAATCAACAAGCTGCTGCTCTGCCTGTAAAACAATGCATGATAGGAAGAAGAAGAGGTTAGACAAAATATCCTGATGTTTCATATATATTAGTTATATTTTATTACTAATGTGCTGTTTTGGGGTTTGTTTGAACATGCCAAAGGGCAAAAAAATGTATATTCATTACAATGTTGATACGAAATTGAATAAAAATACATTATTAATATCTAATGATGAATGTTCACTATCATTGTTAAATTAAAAGCAACATTTACATACTAGTTGTAGGAGTTTCCCTGTGGCAATAGCAGTGACAGACTCCAGACAGCCTGTGGTGGAAAAAGTCCAGCAGCTACCACAAGCTCCCTGAAATAGTGTCACCGATTAAGCATTAGCACTGTTTACTTAAAAAATAATCAATTGTAAGTACAATAGAGAATTATTAGCCTATAGCAAGATAAGCAAGCTACCTGGTTCTTGACATCAGTTACATAGTGTCCTTTCGTTCTCCAGTCAATCATATCAGGATAAGGTGCGTTATTGCTCACATGATTCCCTCTAGTGGCAGAGCAGTTCTGTCAGGATATCAAATATTCATCAGGTACTTTCCTATTTCCTCATTGATCACGAGAGGCTGTTAAAAATAATACCTGAGGTTCTGTCAGGAGGTAGGACTTTTTAAATTCAGTAAAGGTCATGTCTGAAAACTGATTCAGTCCCACTGTAAAGTGCAGAGAAATGTTATGTGATTTTTTAAAAACATCATTTTCATAACACTGCTTTAAAGCAAACACTTCATTAAGTTAGATTATATCAGTCATACTTGAAAACTTGTGGTTTCCTGCATTATGGCGCTCAATCTTCTTCTTGTTCTCCAGGAATGTCTGTAGCCGCTGGTAATATTCATTTATCTCATATTTTTTGTTATACTGCAAATTTAAAAAGAATAAATCAAGTTACTTCATTCCTCTTTCTAATTTTCACTTCCTTCCTTTAGTGTCGCCTTAAATTTCCTTGTGTTGCGACATGAACTTACAATTAACTTATGCTTACCTGAGACATCCATGATTTGAAAAGATACTCATCTGTAACAAATCAATATTTATATTTCATTTTTTTTAATGCACACAACAGTTCTCCAAAGTACCTGTATAAAGTTTCAATTAATTCATAATTTGCATTTTAGTCCATAAAATCTATTTTAAATGCTGTATTATATAACAATAGCCTATACTGTAGCCTAAGTCTAAGTGGTCATAAACTTGTTATGCATTTGTTTTGAAGACTGTAACCGCCAAATAGTCAAGAGCGAAAGTACGACGCAACGGCGCACGTACGTGGAAGACGAAAAAAAGCTCAAAGTCAAAAACTGGTTTAAAAAAATGTACCTTCCTCAGTGTGCAATGGCAATGTATGCACCTGATAGAGAACGGCAAACAGAACCGGTAAAATCAGCCTGTTCATCTTCAACCCTGCGAGCAGCTCATAACAGCAGCATTACAGTATGTGAGATCTCATCACATGAGAGCTTTAGCACTCCTCCTACACGAGGGAGGGCTTTCATTGTCCTCTGCTCTCCGGGTTAAAGGTGCACTCAATATTCTTTTGATAATTAAAACGTTATACACAAAGAAATGAGCAGCATATATATATATATATATACACATATATATATATAAACACACACACACACACACACACAGTAGCTCTACATGCTTTTAGCCAGTCTTCAAGGCAAACAGGTTTTTGGTTTACACCCAATATTTTTTCCTGAAAACAACCCTATACTATGAACATAATAGTGTCGTAAAGATATGATGAAACTGTTCTTTTACAACAAAAATTGATTACATAGGCCTAAATGATCCACCTGCAAGGTATTTATAAAGTCTTATAACTATGTAATGGATGAATATCAGAGCAAACAAACACTGTTTGCTTAATTGCATAAATGTAAATACTAAAAATCTGCCCTTTTAAAATAAATGAGGCCCGTATCAGTATACATAATACACTTATGACCCAATTTTTAAGAGAGTCAAATGAAGTGAGCATGACAAAAACCACATACAAGGAAGCAATATCCCCCTGAGATAGAATAGATTTATTAGCAAGAGGTAATCAGGAAACATACAGTTTATTTAATTTTCTTTCTTTCTTTTTCTTTTCTGTTCATTTCTTTTTTCTTATTTCTTTTGTACAAAAACTGGAAATATTTCCCGAGCCGTGGAAATAAACTTAAGGGTTGAAAGATAATTCTCATACCACTGGGTATTGCTAACAGCAAAATGTTTGTTTGTATGTTTATATATAATTTATAAGAGTATGTGCACATTGATGTGTATACAGTATGTATATAGATCTATCTATCTATCTATCTATATATATATATATATATATATATATATATATATATATATAGTCCTTTTTAAAGTTTCTGGCTGATACAGTGTTGCATGCCTGCCACATGAGCCTTTAGTGTGTTTCCAGACTGTACATAGTAAAAATACATACAAATATTCACAGAATAAGCACTACATTACTATATTCCTGCTAAGAGAATGATTATAGACAGGATTACAGTATATGCAAAAACACTTTAAAGTCCTCTACCTCTAGATCATGGTTTCAAAATCACAAATCATATAGCATTGAGTGTGTAAGCATAGGATACAACGCTTTAAAGAGGTGTGCTTTAAACTAGTATGTTAAGAAAAACATAGGGCTGCATGTACAAAATATACAGAATACTTTTCTGTGTGGCGAGTTGACAATGTTTGTACAAAAAATGATTCTACGCTTGTTTTTTTTTCTTTCTTGTTTTCTTTCTTTTTAGGTAAGGATGCAGAACCCTACGTCTTTATTCTAGGACTACAAAAATACCTTTAGAATGCTGCAAGCGGGGAGGTCATTCACTTTTGATCATACTCTTAAACGACAATGCATTTTACAAAGTGATATTCAGTCACGTTCCACAATCACTGGAACAGCAAGAAGGACATAGATTGTCTGTAAATGTACAATAGCTGGATACTCTGGTGTAGAAGGATAGTGTTGAACCCAGAATAACTTTTTCCCAAAATGCTAAGAAATGTGGCTGTGAGCAACGGAAACATTACATGGGTAAACAATCACGAACCGACCAGTTTCAAAAAATATAATGCCGATCTTGCTTCTTTTTATGAAGAAATAGTCTAATTTTTTGAGGTGAGAAAATCATTTAAAAAAAAGACTTCTGCAAAATAAACTTTGCATGCAACAGATCAAAATCCTTATTGGCCAATAGGAGACATATTCTAAGTCTTTTTTTATGTAATATAATTACCATGCTCTTCACTGTCTGCTTTAAGTCATGCCAAAACTCTTAAAAAAATGTCATGGCAGTTTAGGCATTTCCAACCAATCCTTTGAGAAATCAAAAGATGGATGTTAATTATCGCAACAAATAGGAGTAAAATGCTGGAGTTGGTTCTGCTAAGTACAGTGACATGGAATATAACAGTATAAGTGTTTCTATATGCTTGGTTGTATACAGTAATATATCAGCTTTCCACATTGCTACATGGTATGCATATACAGTAAATAGTTACATGCATCTATTAAAATCTCAAAATGCTCCTGCCGGCTTTTCATATTTCATTAAAGTGATGTGAATGAGCCTAATCAATTAAAGAGACAACCACACCTTGAACTAGGATTATTGTTTTAAGTACTGTCAAAAGTATACTTTGGATTTGGAAAAAATATGATTCCCTAAAGAACAAAGGCTGAAATCAACAGGTAAGTTCTCGGTGAAAGATCTGAAACAATTAGGCAACATTTGGTTACGACTAAAAAACAAGGAAACACATCCAGGAGTAATAATCATGTTACATAACAGAACACATGGATGTATACTGTAGATAGCGTGGTGTCTGTACATTGTGTCGACGTTAGGCAGAGCCACTCTCAGTTGGGCACTTTAGGCTCAATTCTGAGAGAGGCTTCATACAGGCCTTCTTCATCCATTACTGAGCTTCTGTCCAGTAAAAACAGTGTTGCCTGAAAGACAAACAGGGTGTCAGTTTCATATTGAATATGATTCTTCAATACAACCATGGCTCAATTCTCAATTCGAGTTTCCTACATTCTAGATTCCAAAGCAATGCTACAGAAGAACAATTCTAGGTTCCACAAATAACCTTTCAGTGAACAGTTCTTTAAAAAACACTTTTTAAGTGTGAAAAACATTTTCAAAATCTAAAGAACTTTTTTTTCACTAGAAAATCACCTTTTTGTCCAATGGGAAGTTTCTTCATGGAACCATAAATTCAAATTAAGAACAAATTATTTTAAGATTATTCTCATAAATGCAACCAAGTTTGATTTTATAGTACCTTTTAGTTTTGCATACATTTTTCAGTGAATTAAAGGTGCAGTAGGAGATCTTGGAAAATGCTAACTTTAGCGTGATAGCACTGAAAGCGAATGTCCCACCCTCCCTGCAATCGCCGTCCAAAGCCACGCCCCCTGAATGCATATACGCTCTCAGACCAGAACACCAGAGACAATATTTCTACAATAGGCTACATCAGCCGTTCCCAATTCCAGTCCTCGCACTGGATGTGAAGACGTGTGTGTGTGAGTGTGATGTGTGTGAAGACGCGATGTGCAGCGCAAATCCGTGAATGAATGTTCTGAAGTGAATTAAACTTCAACGGATTTCCCCTGCTCAGAGAGTAGGGAGCAATGAACACTGTGTAGGGATCATATCGATCGGAACACAGTTCATGCACGTAGCTCACTTCTAACGAGCTAGTTATCTGAATCGGGTGTGTTAACTAAGCAAGACATGCAAAAAATATACAGAGCGGGGGGCACGAGGACAGGAATTGGGAACCGCTGGGCTACATCATCATGTGTCATTCATCGGTGAGAAAACTTTAAAAGCACTACAATACCAGGAAGGAAGATCGGGTTGTTGATGTTTGTCTGCCATTCTCGCTCTGTCTGCACAGTGTGTGTGAACACGCTGATGACGTATCCTGTCTGCACGAACAGGGTGCGCAGAGGTATGCTAATACACACGTTGACAGGCAGGTAGGAAAGCCAATTAAAACACTCGGACCGAGCGTTTTGATTGGACGAACATTTCTTGGTCCTACGCCTTCCACAGAATATATAAATACAGATAAATACATTTAGACCACTTAACTTGTTTCTGAAGACAATCGCCTATTGCACCTTTAATGTTAGTGAAGGTTAGTTTTTATGAAGTCAGATTTTGTGATTAAATGGTTTTGTAGAGCTACCGTAATGTGTTTCTGCATTCTGTTGGGCTTAAAGGTCTTTGCACGCTGAGTCCGAAATTTTCGCATGTAAAAAAATAAATACAACCTCACGCTGTGTCAATCACGTTTACACACTGCCTCCTAAACTTTCGTCAGTCATAAAAAAATTCGGACCAGGTTCCATTTTCTGCGTTTTCGCATCTGTAGCAAGCATTTTGATAGGGAAAGGATGACGAATACGAAAAAAAATGGAAAAACACATACAAAAATTTCAGACTCCATGTGCAAGGACCTTTACAGTTCGAACTGTTTTTAATCTGAATATAATTATGTTCAGAACAAAACATAGCTAACTTAGCAACCACAAATTTTACTAGTACATGTTGATCATGAAACCCTATATTGTGTCAGTACAAACGAACATCAGTTCAATACCTTTGGCTGGTAATCAATCTTGTATGCCGTTTGCTGAAACTGCCTGATTTCTCGGATGATATGAGAGATCTGTAAAATGAAGAAAATATGATACAATTATATCTGTAACTCTTTCCCACACATGCATTAAAGGAATGCATCTAAAAAAGACCTACCATTCTCATTTTGGAAAAATTGACCAGGTTGTCCTCTGTGTAGTTGGGCGTCCCCTCCTCAATAAAGGCCAAGTCAGTGAGGTACATTCCCAAATATGGCACACAGGGAGGGTCACAACTAGCAGAAGTATTAGAAAAAAATTAGCAGTGTTAGCCATGCCAGTTTTTTAATAGCCGTATCATATTATCATCACCAAAATGAAATAAAATAACCCATTTGCTCAAATACAAATGTCTGACAGCAACAAGTACTGACTATTTTTTTTTTCTTAAAACTTACTTTTTTAAGGCCTCTCTGAGGTTCTTGAATCTTCCTTCAGATGAGACCAACTTCTGCAGCTTGTCAATGACTGTTTTAGTCTTTAATTGAAATGGAATGGTAAAGTGTGTTAAATGTTTTCAGTCTGTTTTCAGTTGTCAAATACTTTCAGATCTGACAACATCAAATAACAATTCGTCAATACTGAATCAACAGGAGGAGTCCAGTAAATATTCTTTTATAGTCCTAAACTGCACTGGTCCTGCTTTAAATCTTAAGTATTCATTTAATTTTGATGAGGTTTTATCTTGTAGTTTCCCACCTGTTTGGACACTTTGAGCCAGGTCTTCTTCAGACGGAAGATGGAGCTGCGGTTGAGGGATGAGGTGATTTCC